TATTTCAGGTTTTTGGATGCTATTGTGAAAGGAATTATTTGCCCTATTTCTCTCTCAGTGAGTCTGTCATTGGTGTAGAGGAAAGCTATTGATTGAATTTCACTGTATGTGTATAGCAGTAAAAAATATATTAATCCATATTTCTCTGGAAAACAACTTTATCGACTCCAAGATAGTGCTTATGTGTGGCCTTTTTTCTTTAGTTTTACAGATCCTACTAATTTTCAAAGTTACTTAGGTCAGCACTTTTTCCTCCTCTTTCGCTTCAGTGAGATTGTCCATTCGTTTGTAATAAAGCTAGATTCCCTTGGCACATATTCCTGAACTCATCCAATCTCCTTATTGATATTTAACTTTTATACATTTAAATTTACTTTCTGTGCTATAAAATTCTTTGGGCTTTAAAGGTGCCTAAATTTACACATCTGTCATTACAGTAGGAAAACATGTGCCTGTTGTGAAATTCTCCCTGCTTCACACATTCACTGCTCTCTCTTCCCTCCACACTAGTCCCCATCTCAATTCTGGCAATCATTGATCTTTCAACACCATCTCTTTGTTTTGGATTTTCTGCAGTCTGATTATGATTTGTGTATGCATAAATATCTTCATATTTATCTTATTTTTTCTCTGAAATTTCTGGATGTGAGTTTTACTGTTGGTCATAAATCTTAGAAAATTGAGAACACGCCGAATCAGCCCTCTGGAGACAGGCAGGTCTGTGCACACCATACCGAGGTCCTGAGTCACACAGAAGATGCTGAATCACCCTGCTACAGGCAGGCAGATCTGCCCACTCCACACCGAGATCCTGAGTCACACAGAACATGCTGAATCAGACCCCTGCAGACAGGCAGGTTTGTGCATGCCCTACCTAGGTCCTGAGTCACAGAAAAGACGACCAATCACCCCACTGCAGGTAGGCAGCCACCTGGTCCCACACTACAAAGATGCACAGGACACCAGACCACCAGACCAAGGTACTGAGTCCTGCTGCTCCCGGCCCAGAGGAAGGGGCTTCTGAGCAACCATCCCACTGCTCCTGGT